TCTCTCTGCCCAGGTACATCACTTCTTCTTTCTGCCCAGCTCTATCACTTCCTGTCTGTACAGACCTCCAGACCTCTATGATTAACTATTGCTCAGAATTAAAGGCATGTGCCACCATGCCTGGCTCTGTCCCAGTGTGGCCTTGAACTCACAGAGATCCAGATGGATCTCTGCCTCCTGAATGCTTAGATTAAAGGCATGTGCTACCATTGCCTGACTTCTATGTTTAATATTGAAAGGATGATAATAGGCGCTGGTGGCAGTGCTGGTTACCACGTGGAAAGGTCACAGTCATGACAGAACCCAGTATCAGTATTCAGAGCTTTATTAGGAGGAAAAGGGGGAGGGAGTGGGGACCAGGCCTAGTGAGAGAGAAAGATGGTGGGAAAAGAGGGGAGCAGAGGAGGGAGCAGAGAGCAAAGAGAGCATGGGGTTTGCATCTGACTTTTAAGGCATAGATTGCATGACTGTGCCATGCATATGTAGTTACCAGTGCCCCCTGATGATGTAAGACTCAAGACCCCAAGCTGTGCATGTGCAGGAGTGAGGGCAGGATCATAACATTCTAGACTTTTTGCTTATTATAAAAAAGGAAGTGAATAGGAATAGGGGTGTCATTTCTCCCAGAAAAACTGCTTCCAGATGACTTGGTGGGTGGCAGTTGGCTCTTGGGAGGGGGTAGGGAAGGGGGCCTTCTGAGGTAAACAGACATCCTGGGATGGTGGGCTATCCTGCGGCCCTGGAGTCATCCATCCCTCTTGGCTTGGCACTCTGGCCGCTTTTGTGTCTGACAGGATGCTGGTGAGACAGAAAAAGCCTGAAGTAGATCCGACCTGTCCAGATGGATTTAAGCTGGTTTCTGGAGCTTGGGGAAAAAATTTGAGCATGTTAAGAAGCAACCATGAGAAAATTAGTGACCATTGTAGTGTTTAGTACTCTGCTTATATCGGTTAGTGTTAATGAGAGAGACAGAGAGATTGGAACATGTTTTTAAACTTTATCAGAGACAGATTATTTTAAGGCACCTGTTTCCTTTACTAGTTTAGCATCCAGGAGACACAGGTGATCAATTGTTGAGAGCATTTAACAGTAATAGATGGTTATATTAAGGTCTGTTTTTGTAGAGCCCAGATACTTTTGGGTCTGAGGATGTAAATATCTTTTAGCTGTCACAGTTTCTTACTTGATGATCCCTGGACTCCAGTTCTGTGGTAGTCCAAAGCTGCCATTAGCTGAGCAGTTAATTAGAAGAGGGAACTGGGAAGAGAAAAGCTTGCGGTGCATGAGAACTTATTTCTTTGGTATTAGGGACATGGCAGAGATCAGGGCCCTGTCTGTGTGCATGAGGAGAAGCACTTCTGACAGGTCTGGAATGAGGCACATGTAGGGAACAATGAAATGAAAGCTCCTATCTTAGCTGGAAAATCTTTCTCATTAAGTAACCCTGAAAGTACAATTAAATGTGGTAGGTGGGTAAGGCTGTCCTCCCTACCCCAACAATAGGGAAATGAGAGGTGAGACCCTAAAACTCCCAGGACTGGGTTAGTGGCTCTGGTGTCCAGAAGGAAAGAAATGGATCACCTCCATACTGTGTTCTAGGTTTCCTACAAACGAGCCTGTGGCCAAGCCTAGAGGTCTGCTGGAGGTCTTTGTCTGTCCCCCTGCCCCTTGGTGCCTGGGTGCTGTCAGCTGACCAGTTGTCTTTCTAGGTGGCACTTTGAATGAGGCTCAACTGATGTCCTGGCAGGGTATGTACTACCTTGTGTGGCCTTTATTTTTCTTTCCACATTTAAAACAGGGACTCAATGGCTTTTGGGAGCCAGCATGTGCCAGCACTTGACAATTCTGTTCTCGGGCTTTTTTCATCTCTCCCGTGGTACACTTTAAATGCCACAGCTGATACTTCTGCCTTTGGGGTCAGGAGCCTTGCTTTCTAGATGCTTAAGTTTTGGCCCTATGTCGGGGAGGTCTGAGGGACAAGAGACAGATTTTACTCCATGTCTTGAATTTTTTTTTTTTTTTTTGATGTCTGCTGGCTTGGGAACAGCTTTAGGAAGGCCTGCCAAGAGGCAGGCTATAAATCGATCTCTGGCTAAAGAGCCATCCTGATTACTGTAAACTTATTTACATGGATTCTAGCCTGCTTTCAGACTCATCTGTGCTTCTCAGGGCAGCTTGAGAATGAGTGGGAGGGTTTAAGGTGAGTTAAAGCCTGCCCAATCCCAGAGAGCAGAAAGTGGATGTCAGATAGACAGAAGTGGTTGCACATGGCAGGGAAAGAATCAGAAATGGAGAAGGAGAAGGGTTCAGAGCTTCAGTAGAAAGCTTGGGAATAAGGTAACTCTTTTCATTTGCCCATTCACTGGCAGAAGTTAGATAATTCCCATGAAATATTGGGGTTGAAATAGCCAAATTTACTGGTATTTGCCCCATGCCCCATGGCTGCAGTGCCAAAAGAGAAAAAATAAAAAATTAAAATAACAAACTGGGATCAGACTCCAATCACAAGCATCTCTGAAGTAGGAGAAAGATCTATGAATCAGCACAGGTTACTCCCCACTTCATCAAGAGAGGATTAAGGGCTGGAAGCGTATGCAGCACGAGGACCCCCCCGGGGGGTCTGACAGCATTGACCCCTTCGTCAAGGGAGAGAATGAGTCAGTACCAGCGCAGCCCAAGGACCCCCTGGTGGTCTGGCATGAGGAATATAGCTCAGGCTGCAGTCATAGGAAATGGTGGGAACTCACCAATCAACATTATGTCATGAGTTCCTTAAGTTTATTGGTTTGGAGACTTTCTCTGGAGAAACAGTCTTAATTTTCTCTTCTTGATATTAGAGCTTATCTCTCCTCATTTCTTGGCATGTCTGTGTTTTCCAGTTGTTACTATCATCAATGTTTTAATTTTTGCTATTTAAGTTATTGATGAAGTTGATACATTGGTTTTAGGTTTGTAAAACCTGCTCATATATTATTGTCTCTGTGTCTTAATTACTTCCAGATGACAACATATCAGAGTCTGGAGTCATCTGTGAGAACATCAGTTGAGAATGTGCCCCCATCAGAATGGCTGGTTGCTAAGTCTTGGAGACATTTTGTTGATTGATGATTGAGGTGTGAAGGCCCTGAAGGTGCAATAGACTAAGAAAGTTGGCCTGGACTGGATAAGAGAGCTAGCTGAGCATAAGAAAATTACCAAGTAAGAGAAAAGGCTAGGAAACAAAGATTCCTCATGGTTTTTGCCTCCAGTGCTAGCTTGAATTTCTATCAGTATAACAGAATATGGTACACCAAAAGTGATTTTGTTGCTGCAAAGGACCTGAGAATGATGACTGTTGGAGGAATGTTGATGATATCCAGATTTAAATGGCAAAAGACATAGAAAGCTGCACACAAAGCTTAATCAGCCAGTCTTAGAAGACTTGTGGTAAAGGACTGTGGAGAGTAATGCAAACAGTGGAGGTCAGGGTCACAGGATCTCAGTGGGAAATAGACTCCATGATAAATTAAGCTAGAGGTCATTTTGGGGATATTTTGGGCCCTAACCTTTCTTATTATGCCCAAGCCCCCAAGAACTTGAGTAAGGCAGAATTAAAAAATAATGGGGCTGATTTCTTAGATGGAATACTAACTCTTGGATGGCTATTATGATTCATTCAGGACTACAGTGAAAAAAAGGAACAAGTGGGTCATAAATAAATGGGAAGTCTGTGGGTTGAAGACAAAAACAACACTAGGTAGTTCCAGTTGACCCTCAAGTGCTGAACAGAGACAGGGATTTTAAGGGAGATTATTACCATTAAATAGAAGGGTCTTACTCTACACTGGAAGCCTAACAAGGTGCCATAAGGGTAATAATCCATCCTTCTATGCCCTAAGTTAAGGGAAGAATTAGGCAAAGTGATTCCCAGTCCCAGGAAGCAACTTCATACAAAGCCTGCTGCAACTCTGGTCCAAGCATGGCAGGAGCCATCACAACTTAGAAACCAAATTTTGGGGGAATCATTGATGTTTAACTGTTTCTGGAAATAACAAAGATGCAAAATTTAAGGCCATACATTCTTAGTGTGTATTTTCAGTTCAGCACTATTGTAAGCATTTGTATTTGGTATAGTAAGAGCTCCAGTGAGGAGACTGTGAGAATTCATTGCTTGATGCTATGAGAATGAAGCCTGGGTTGTATTTTGAGAACATAAGATGCTGAGATATTTAAGCTATGAGACATCTTCCATGGAGAGCTGCATATATGGAGTGGAAGTAACCAAAGATAGAGATATAAGGAAAATTGTGGAGAGAGAGACATCTAAGCCCTTTGAAACTGAAGCCCTATGTGTCTGACACAGAGCTACTGGAATTGATTGTTGCCCTGCTGGGTTTCAGCCTTGCCTTGGTCTAATCTTCCCTCACTATGTCTCAATTCCTCTCTTCTGGAATGGAAATGGCTATTCTGTGCCATTTGGATGTTGGAAAGGTTTAACTTGTTTTCTGATTTTACAAGATGACACAGTCAAGAGATTCTCTTCAGTGTCAAAAAAGACTGGACATTTGGACAGTGTAGGGGCTGTTGCAGAGTATGAGGATCATTGAAGTGACTAAATGTGTTTTCTTCATGGATGACCCTGAGCCTATAGTGACCTGGGTCAGAATCTAGTTGACTGAATAAAAAGCTACCATATAAAATAAGGTATCTGGACATGTGTCTCTCCTTGGTGGCTTTGTTTTGGTTGTTTGTAGACCCTTTAGTAGGAGGAATCTTTCTAGATGAAATTCCACATTTTGGATAGGATTTGAATGTCAATAGCCTCTACCCATTTTCTGTTCTTTGTTTCTACTATGTTATGGTTGAAACAAATCAGCCAGCTCCCTTCTTGTGCTATCACACATTCACCGCTATCATAGATGGTATCTCTAAATCACATAATATACAATTGAAGCAATTGCTATTAAATCTTAAGCCATTTTGCTTGCCTGAATTTTTAAATTTTATTGTTTTTATTCTAGTTTCTGAAGACAAGGTTTGTCTGAGTAGCCCTGGATGTTCTGAAAGTTGCTCTGTAGACCAGGCTGGCTTCAAAATCAGAGATTCACCTGATTCTTGCTCCCACATGCTGGGATTAAAGGTTGGCCAACATTCCTGGTATTGGGTGATGGGCCTAGAGTATATATTTTTATACATGTTAATCATATACTGTTTTGCTGAGCTTCACTCTCAGTTTTAAATTTGAAATTTGGCAGAGTGTATTGTTCTCTTTCCCAAGATGGCAGTATTCATGACATTAATACTGCCTAGGCCTTCTGAGTCATTAGATTACAGTTGTGTGACATTCATCCTACTTGTGTTTGTTTTGATTTTTGATGAATATGATTCTTTTGCCTGTATACATGGATATGTACCAACCATGTGCCTGGTCCTCACAGTAGTCAAAACATTGTCTTGAAATTCATGAGCTTGGAATAGTTATGATCCCCCATGTAAGTACTGGCAATTTAGCCCACCTTTATGCAAGAGCAGCAAGAACTCCTAACTTCTGAGCCATCTCTCCTGCCCTGTGTTGATTATTTATGATCAAAATTTATATTGTTAATGTTTTCATCATCTATTTGTAAGTGTTTAAATGCACAGTTCCTTTTAGTAAGGTTTATTAAAGTTACAGTTTAAACTGGAACACTTAAGATTCCTGGAAGATGAATACAGAACTAGAGTGAATGTATAACTCTTTGTAGGAACTTCAGTATTTCTTCCTACCTTTTTTGTTTGATTGATTGGTTGATTTTTGCAGTGGAGACAAGTTCTTAATATTTACTTCTTGATGTCCAGGAACTGATTGCATAGCCTTGGCTAGCTTTTTTTTTTTTTTTCTTTTTTTCAAGACAGGGTTTCTCTGTGTAGCTTTGCGCCTTTCCTTTAACTCACTTGGTAGACCAGGCTGGCCTCGAACTCACAGAGATCCACCTGCCTCTGCCTCCCGAGTGCTGGGATTAAAGGCGTGCGCCACCACCGCCCAGCAACTAGCTTTTAACTCAGAAACAGATATATCTGCCTCTGCCTTCTGAGTGCTGAGATTAAAGACATGAACCAATATACCCAGCTTGCTCATCTTTTTTGTAGTTAGTAATTGTTTATACAATTTCTCTGATGTGTGCTCAACACTGTTGATGTGTTTGCTTGTCTCTCTATGTCTGTTAATAGGTAATTTTCTTGCAGTGTGATATCCCATTCAAAGTGTTCAGGAATGATAGAGGTAAACATTCTATTCAGTTTCCATCTAAAATGACTTGATGATTATATTATAATGTCTATGTCATAAAATAAGGGTGGGAAGCAGAGGAATTATATGACTATTTTGTCAAAGAAGTGTACTTTTACAATATTATCAGTATTATGGTTTTGTTGTATATGTATATATGGCATATATATGTTGGTATATTTTAGGATGCAGTGACCTATAATGATGTGCATGTCAACTTCACTCAGGAAGAGTGGGCATTGCTGGATCCTTCCCAGAAGAATCTCTACAGAGATGTGATGCTGGAGACCTATACGAACCTCACTGATATAGGTAATGCTGTAAATTTTTTGTCACATTTAAAAATAAGGGGACAACTGTTTCTTGGTTATTGATGTGCTTCTCTAATGTTGATTGAGAATGAGGAAGAATGGGGTGAATAAATCATGCATAGTTCTAAGGATCACTGAAGATAGTAACTTAAATTTTGCACAATTTCTAGTACTATTTCATATATTTCCTCATGCTCTATTTTAGGCTACAATTGGGAAGATCATAAAGTTGAAGAGCATTGTCAAAGTTCTCAAAGATATGGAAGGTAATTTTCATGTGCAAGCTGATACAAATGTGCCTCTGGAGATATTTTAATGTATCTGGAAGTTTTAAAGAAAAGTAGCAGTGTAAATAATCACAGCTTAAATTGCATTGATGATTCTTAAATGCTCACAAACCCATATACCTCAATGACAGGTAAGTGAATTGTGTTTGCAAGTCATTCTTTTAAGAAGGAAGACAAGGAATCAATGACTTAACATATATCACCATTTGAATCATAGCTCCATCAGAGCTATGCTGTAGAACTGCCAATCCATTTAGTTTCATACCACTCATATTACAAAAAGTATACATGTTGACTATGTGATAAGTGTATGTCTAAAACCTTCTAATAAACAAATAGTCCATAGTAAAACCAGTGTTACTCATAGTGGTTCTATCATTGATAAGTTTAGTGAGATGGGTAGTTAGAGTCAAGAGTTAAGTGAGAGTTGTGGAGAAACCTTAATCCCTATACCATATGTCTATGAGGAACAGAAAGTCAAACTGTGTAAATGCAATGTAGAAACCTTTTATTTGTTATTCTTCCTTTAATAGGTACATCATATGTTACTCTGGATACAAGCCATATAAGCATAGGTATAGACACATTTCTAAATGGTCTTATTAAATAAAAAACATGGAGTCAGATACAGTGGTGAAAGCCTGAGAGAGATCAGGGAAATAGGGAAAGCTACAGCTAACCTTACCTCACCAATTCTGCAGCTTCCAAATGCAAGTTACTTCCTGTCTACCCATGCCTATATGCCTTGCTGTTCTGCCATCTGATTTGCTTTCTCTGTCCAGCTACATTACTTCCTCTTCCTGCCTAGCTCTGTCACTTCCTGTCTTTCGGTACAGACCTCCAGACCTCCATGGTTAACTAGCATTGGAATTTAAGGTATTTGCCACCACACCTGGCTGTTTTCAGTGTGGCCTTGAACTCACAGAGATCCAGACAGATCCCTGCCTGCCAAGTAATAGGATTAAAAGCATGTGTTACCATTGCCTGACTTCTTTGTTTACTTATAATGGCTGTTCCTATTCCTCTGATCTCCAGGCAAGCTTTATTTACTAAAACACAAATAAAATATCATCACATTTCAGCACAAATAAAATATCACCACACATAGTGATATAGAAAGAAGCCATGTACCTCTCTGCATCTCAGAACAATATGTAGTAGTACTCATGTTGAGTAGACTTGTTGAATGTAATTCAAATTTACAAGTAATTGGTTTTCCAGCTTCAATGGAAATACATCGACAAACATACTGCAGAAAAGCCCTATGAGTACTAGTATTATGTAAATACTTCTGTTTGTCCTGGTTCACTTTGCAAATGTGTATGACTCACAGTATAGGAAAATTATCAATGGAATAAGTGGGGTAAAGGTCTGAATTCTATCAGTTGTCTTCAAATATGTGAAAAATCTCATAGAAAAAATATGTCATAAGTGTGAGCCAGGTAATTATGGCTCTTACCATCATAGGCATTTTCAAATATGCAAAATAATCTTTAATGAAGAGAAACAACATGAGTGTAAGCAAAGTGATAAAACCTTAAGATCTGACCAAATTGTAAAATTAAATCATACAGATATAAAGATTCAGCAGTGTAATAAATGTGTTACAGCTTTTAAATGTGCCAATTATCCTTGCAGGCATGAAAGAAGTCATACAGGAGAGCAAACTTCTGAATATACTGAATGTGTTAAAGCATTTTCATATCATAGTCTTCTTCAAAGGCATGAAATTCATATTGGAAAGAAACCCTATGCAGGTATTCAATATGGTGAAGCCTTAACATGTCATAATAGACTCCGAATACATAAACATACACATACTGGAGAGAAACCCTATGAATGTAATCAATGTGGTAAAGCATTTGCATATCAAAGTCTTCTTCAAATGCATGAAAGAACACATACTGGAGAGAAACCCTATGAATGTAATCAATGTGGTAAAGCCTTTGCACGTTATAGTCATCTTCAAAGGCATGAAAGAACACATACAGGAATGAAACCCTATGACTGTAATCAATGTGATAAAGCCTTTGCATGTCATAGTTATCTCAAAATACATAAAAGAACACATACTGGAGAGAAACCCTATGAATGTAATCAATGTGGTAAAGCCTTCGCACGTCACAGTAGTCTCCAAATACATAAAAGAACACATACTGGAGAGAAACCCTATGAATGTAATCAATGTGGTAAAGCCTTTGCTCATCACAATTCTCTTAAATGGCATAAAAGAATACATACTGGAGAGAAACCCTATGAACATAATCAATGTGGTAAAGCCTTTGCACAACAAGGTCATCTTCAAAGACATGAAAGAACACATACTGGAGAGAAACCCTATGGATGTAATCAATGTGATAAAGCCTTTGGATGTCACAGTTATCTCAAAATACATAAAAGAACACATACTGAAGAGAAACCCTATGGATGTAATCAATGTGATAAAGCCTTTGGATGTCACAGTTATCTCAAAATACATAAAAGAACACATACTGGAGAGAAACCCTATGAATGTAATCAATGTGGTAAAGCCTTTGCTCATCACAGTTATCTCAAAATACATAAAAGAATACATACTGGAGAGAAACCCTACGAATGTAATCAGTGTGATAAAGCCTTTGCTCATAACAATTCTCTTCAATGGCATAAAAGAACACATACTGGAGAGAAACCGTATGAATGTAATCAATGTGGTAAATCCTTTGGACAACAAAGTGATCTTCAAGTGCATAAAAGAATACATACTGAAGAGAAACCCTATGAATGTAATCAATGTGGTAAAGTCTTTGCACAACAAGGTCATCTTCTAATGCATGAAAGAACACATACTGGAAAAAAACCCTATGAATGTAATCAATGTGGTAAAGCCTTTGGATGTCACAATTATCTCAAAATACATAAAAGAATACATACTGGAGAGAAACCCTACGAATGTAATCAGTGTGGTAAAGCCTTTGCATATCACAGTTATCTCAAAATACATAAAAGAACACATACTGGAGAGAAACCCTATGAATGTAATCAATGTGGTAAAGCCTTTGTATGTCACAGTAGTCTCCAAATACATAAGAAAACACATACGGGAGAGAAACCCTATGAATGTAATCAATGTGGTAAAGCATTTGCATATCATAGTCTTCTTCAAATGCATGAAAGAACACATACTGGAGAGAAACCCTATGAATGTAGTCAATGTGGTAAAGCCTTTGCACAACACAGTTGTCTCCAACTACATAAAAGAACACATACAGGAGTGAAACCCTATGAATGTAATCAATGTGGTAAAGCCTTTGGGCAACAAAGTAATCTTCAAATGCATGAAAGAATACATACTGAAGAGAAACCCTATGAATGTAATCAATGTGGTAAAGTCTTTGCACAACAAGGTCATCTTCAAATGCATGAAAAAATACATACTGGAGAGAAACCCTATGAATGTAATCAATGTGGTAAAGCCTTCGCATATCACAGTTATCTCAAAATACATAAAAGAACACATACTGGAGAGAAACCCTATGATTGTAATCAATGTGGTAAAGCCTTCGCATATCACAGTTATCTCAAAATACATAAAAGAACACATACTGGAGAGAAACCCTATGAATGTAATCAATGTGGTAAGGCTTTTGTATGTCACAACAGTCTCCGAATACATAAAAGAACACATACTGGAGAGAAACACTAAGAATGTAATCAATGTGGTAAAGCATTTGCATATCATAGTCTTCAAATGCATGAAAGAACACATACTGGAGAGAAACCCTACATGAGTAACTTTTAGTGTGTAATTAGTCTGTTAAAGCCTTTGAATATAGCATTAGATTTTTGAGGATCTGAAAAACTCATGCTGAAGGGAATCTGAATATAAAGCATTTGGTAATATTTTAAGCCAACCCATTTACATTACACGAAATTATTCTGGAGAAAACAATCTGACAAGTGTCAACAATTGGTTCAAGCAATATGATGCCCCCTCTTTATTTTATTTACACCTGCAAGCTCACATGGACACAAGGCCTATGAATTTAAATGATAAAGTAATTTTTAGATTTTATACTTCTCAATTACATGAGATAATGAATCTAGGTGTAAAACTTTCTGCATGTGTATTAGTGCCTTTTCTGTTGCTGTGATATAACATCATGTCTATATTTGCTTACAAAAGTGTTTAATTTGTCCCTGGGTTCCAGAGCAATACAGGATCACCATGAAAGTGGCATGGAAACAAGTGTCAGACATGGCAGCTAAAGTAGGAAGCTAAAAATTCATATCCTTAACCTGCAGCATGAAGCAGAAAGTGTAAATTGGAAATGGTGTGCAGATATAAACTCTCAGGCCAACCACCAGTGAAATATTTCTTCCATCAGGGCAGCATTTTCTAAATCTTCAAACATGATATCACAGACTGAGAATGATTGATTCTCTGACTTCAAGCCTACATGCTTGCTTTCTATTACATGAACCAGTTCATGATGGAGAAAAACTCTGTAAGCCTCGAGATGCCTCAGCACCTGTATTACAGGAATTATAAGAGAAAAACATTCATGAGTGAAAATTAGTTTAAAGATTTGTTTTAATTTTAATTATGCAATGTCAGTGTGTCTTTGTGTGGGTATGTGCATGTGCATTCTGGTTTCCAAACAGGTTAGACCTTTGGAGTTTTTTGTGTCAAAAATTACTAGAAGTCATTAAAAACCTGACCTTGGTCCTGGGAATAAACTTATATTAAGGGCTCAGCCATGTCTCTAGTCCTGTAAATATTCTAAATCTTTATATATATATATATATATATGGAGGAACTCATACAAGAGAAAAACCTTATTCAGGTAAATGGTTTGGTAAGGACTTTAAATATGACAGTTGTCTTTAGTTTCAAGAAAAAAAATTTGTTTTATCTCCTTTTCATCTTAGCCTTGAAGTAAGTAAATTATTAACCAAGTTCATTGTGGGGTACCTGCCTCAACCTTTTACCCCAGGCTACTCTTGAGGAGTGAAGGATAAGAGATTAGATAGAAGGATGGAGGGGAGAGAAAAAGAAACACAGGATAGCCTCGGGAGGGCCTGGATCATTATCTACCAGCCCAGAACTTTATTCAGAAGGATTTTTATAACAATGCCAAGGGGCAAGGCAAAAGACCTTCCCCTTGCTAAATACAGCCAAGTGCAGACCCTTCCAAACACCTGGTCTCAGGCCTGTGGTCCAATCATCCTCTTCTGCAGCCCTGCTGGGTAAAGCAAGCTCAGATCTCACTAGGAAACCTCTGTGGGCTCCCACAGTTCACTAAAGACTATTATGAAGCTGGACAGTAGTGGCACATGCCTTTAATCCCAGCACTCAGGAGGCAAAGCCAGGCAGAGCTCTGTGAGTTTGAGGCCAGCATGGTCTACAGAGCAAGCTCCAGGACAAGCACCAAAACTACATGGAGAAACCCTGTCTTGAAAAACTAAAAAAAAAAAAAAAAAAGACTATAATGTAGATCACATTGTGGCTTCTACTTGCAACATTTGAGGTAGATATTAAAGTGTGCTGTATCTGTGGCAAACCCATTTAGTGAAGTTTATTTTTTGGTCCTTTTATTCCTTCTGTGGCCTTTGTTCATTTTCTATTTTGCTTTAACTTAGTGAGAGGTATTTTTCTGCTTCAGTGTATAGAATGGGATGGCCATCATCTAAGTGGTACATTTGTATTTAAATATTAGGCAGTGTGTGATCATACTTTTCAAATTAGTGCTGTGGGATGGTCTGTATGTCAAGTGTGTTGCTGATTGGTCAATAAATAAATCACTGATTGGCCAGTGGCCAGGCAGGAAGTATAGGCAGGACAAGGAGGAGAATAAAGCTGGGAAGTGGAAGGCTGAGTCAGAGTCACTGCCAGCCACCACCAGAACAAGCAGCATGTGAAGATGCCGGTAAGCCACAAGCCACATGGCAAGGTATAGATTTATGGAAATGGATTAATTTAAGCTATAAGAACAGTTAGCAAGAAGCCTGCCACAGCCATACAGTTTGTAAGCAATATAAGTCTCTGTGTTTACTTGGTTGGGTCTGAGCGACTGTGGGACTGGCAGGTGACAAAGATTTGTCCTGACTGTGGGCCAGGCAGAAAAACTCTAGCTACAAGTTAGTGTGTCTGTAAAGGGGTGCTGGGTTTTGGTTCCTGGTTTTATTTTTCATATTTTTTTTCACAAATTTCCTTGAAATGTTGTTTGTTATCCAGCCTGGCTTGTTTGTTAGTAATTAGTCAAAAGTACATTTGAACTCATGATCCCCATGTGTCAGTCTCCTGAGTACAAGTCTAAGGGTGTATGATGTGCTCCCAATGTTTGGTGTTTTGTCAACACATATTAAGAATGTTAATGTTAAAATGCTTAATAGAAGAGAATATAAGAAACATTAAATACCTCATGTGTGCATCCAAAGAAACATTTTCATCTGTCTAGAAGAAATGTAATGAAGTAGCATAATCAGTAATCAATTGTATAATATATATACATAATATATAATATAACTGATGTACTATGAATATGTATATATTATTTGAAATTCCATGCATCCTCATCAGTTATCCATTTCACATAATATCTTGAAGTATTGCCTTCTAAGGGAATTATCCAGAGATGCTAGATAATATAATGCCACAAGATTTATTTTTAAAAAATCTGTTGTGTGTTTGTGTAATGTGACTATGGGTTTTAGGCCATGACAGATATATGGAGATAAAAAGATAACTCTGTCAGGTCTACTTTTGTCCAGTTTCATATGGTGATCAAGATGAGGTTACAGCCTTGCACAACACAGATTTTTTTTTTCATTTTTCTTTATTAAGAAATTTTCTACTCACTCTACATACCACCCACAGATCCCACTTCCTCCCTCCTCCCACCACCCAGTCCTCTCTCCCAAGCCACCCCACATCCCTCAAATCAAGGTCTCCCATGGGGAGTCAGCAGAGCCTGGCACACTGAGCCTAGGCAGGTCCAAGCCCCTTCCCACTGCACCAAGGCATCACACCATAGGCACTGGACTCCCAAAAGCCTGCCTGTGCTGTGGGATGTTCTGTATGGCAAATGTGTTGCTGATTGGTCAATAAATAAAACACTGATTGGCCATTGGCTAGGCAGGAAGTATAGGCGGAACAAGGAGGAGAATAAAGCTGGAAAGTGGAAGGCTGAATCAGAGAGACACTGCCAGCCGCCACGATGACAAACAGCATGTGAAGATGCCAGTAAGCCACAAGCCACGTGGCAAGGTATAGACTTATAGAAATGGATTAATTTAAGTTGTAAGAACAGTTAGCAAGAAGCCTGCCACGGCCATACAGTTTGTAAGCAATATAAGTCTCTGTGTTTACTTGGTTGTGTCTGAGCGACTGTGGGACTGGCAGGTGAGAGAGATTTGTCCTGACTGTGGGCCAGGCAGGAAAACTCAAGCTACATGCCTGTGCACCAGGGGTGGATCCTGATCCCCCTGCCTGGGTGCCCCCCCCAAACAGTTCAAGCCAAACAACTGTCTTCTGTACCCAGAGGGCCTAGTCCAATCCTATGGGGCCTCCACAGCCACTAGTCTACAGTTCATGGGCTTCCACTAGTGTGGTCAGTCATCTCTGCATGTCTTCCTATCATGATCTTGATGTCCCCCACCTGCAGAATCCCTCCTCTCTCATTGATTGGATTCCTGGAGCTCAGCCTGGTGCTTGGCTGTGGATCTCTGCATCTGCCTCCATCAGTCACTGGACAAAGGCTCTATGATGACAGTTAGGGTATTCACTAGACTGGTCACCAGAGTAGACCAGTCCAGGCACCCTCTGGACCAATGCCAGCAGTCCAAGGTGGGGTCATCCTTGTGGATTCCTGAGAGCCTTCCTGGCACCCTGGCTCTTCCCATTCCCATGATGTCCTCATCTATCATGGTATCTCCCTCCCTGCACTCCCACTCTGTCCCTGTTCCAGCTTGACCTTCCGATTTCCCTATGTTCTCATCCCCCAACTCCTCACCCTCTGCCACCACCACCCCACTCCCAGTCCGCTCATGTAGATCTCATCCACTTCTCCTTTGCTGGGCCATCCATGTGTCCCTCCTAAGGTCTTTCTCTGTTAGCTAGCCTCCCTGGAGCTGCAACACAGATATTTCTAACATAGCTGTCTCATTGATGCTCAAATAAGATTAGGTGAAACATTACATCAGTAAAATATTCTTTTCAGATTATAAGCATACTTTGAAGCATAACAGAAAACAGGAGAAATTGAATAATAAATCCTATTTCCAAATGAAAATGATATACTTATATCTCTTTTGTTTTTTCTTTTTTTTGTGTGGAATGTGTTAGTTTATTCTGAGGACTAAACACTTGTTCATAACACTTTCTCAGAAACATATATGAATCCCAGAGAATAGTTTCCATGAGTGAAGTTGGTTGCTGCTAAGTCTCAGGTCCTGAGTTCAGTTTCTAGGAAACCCATATTACTTTACAAATTTTTCTCTTATCTCTACACTTGTGTCACACACTCCAACACCAGCACATACATAAATAATTTTAAAACCCAAATTAGTGCCATTGAGCTCACTTGCAGCCAAATGATTCCTCAGCTTTCATTTCTAGAAATCACGTAGGATAAGTAGATAATGGACACCAATAAGTTGTCCTCTCATTGCAACATACACATCATGGCAAAGGTATATACACAAAAACATAGTTCAAACACTTTTCAATGGATGTAATTAACAACACAAAAAAACCTAATAATTGAGAACATATCAAGAGATTTTGCAATTTAAATTATTATAGAATTTCAAGAAATATTACTGTTCCTTAAAACACTGATGGTTCCTTTTTAAATCTTATTTAATCATTAAATTCTCTGATTCAAACAGATCATTTAAAAAATATACCTTGGTTGGGTTTAGAGTTGCATGCCTGTAATCCCAGCATTTGGGAGATACTCTGCTTCCCTGATGTCTGCAAAACCTTCATTTAGGAGCCCTGAATTGTGGTGACTCCAGATGACATTCATGCTCTTAGGAGATCCTGAGATTTAAACAGAAGTCACTCTAAGGGTGGGGCACCCAGGAAATTACAAATAGCTGTGGAGTATGGAGGAATTGTTAGGGAGGTATCTTTGGGTGTAAATGCTTAGTGTGACTCTGAGGACAACCTGCCTCCTATTGTATTCTCTGTATCCACTCACCTGTGGTGGGTTAGCCATCTCCAGGTCTTCCACTCTTTCCTTTTTTTGGCAACTACATGTACCTGTCAGTGACAATACCTTGAAGCCCCCACTTTTCAGCCTCCACTTGGATATTAAAGCTCTTCAGTTCCCAAACTGACATTCCTGTAACCTTCCTGCATGGCAGAAATAAGCATATTATAAAGAGACATTTATACCACTTGCTTTGGCTAACAACTAGCAAAGCAGTGGAACACATGATATTCTAATTTTCCTGGGAATCACATTGTGGGAAAAGACTGAGTCTTCAGGATGAAAATTTCTCTACTGAAGAAACATTTACTCCTTATCTGAACAAATGGCAGGAAAGACAGTGGCTGAAAATGGTGGAGAGTTTTAGAGATGGGAAAAATTAATTATATAGCTTCATTAGATTACTTATTTTTGCTTATGTTTTGCCTTCTATCTAAACCTCTTAGAAGCCCAAGGATGGATTAGTTACCTTGTATTTCTGTCACTGTTCCAAATTAGTAAAACTGAATAAATATCATTTTTCAGTGTTCATTAATAAT